TAACTATTCTATGATTCTGTGATTCTAAATTGAATTTAGAAAAATAGGCAGCTTCTTATGGGAAGTTTCAATTTCACTGAAACAACATTTCTAAAAGAAACCTCCCCAGACATATAATCAGGCTTTTCTCAGTTAGCTTTGACTGCCAGAAGACTTTGTACAAGGAGAATTTAGGAGAGGAAAAAAAAAAAAAAAAGAAAAGAGTTCCCTACCCCAAAGAAAACTAAACCCTTTGCATCATCCAGAAATATTAAAAGAGTAAGAGAAAGAATCAAGATGTGCAGTGCTCATCTCTGTTCTCCTTCTATTTGTGTTGTTGCTACAGGTTAGGACAGCCAGAAACCACTTCTACAGCAGAGCACCCACAGTACCACTGCCCCACGGGCCTGGGGGACTCCAAGGTAGAGGCACACTATCCCAGAAACCTGTGGCTGACACCTCTAAGCACTCCAGCAGGCAGGGTGCAGGACCCCATCCCCTATCACAAAGAAAAAGCTCTTTTTTCAGCCAAGCAAGTGAAACCAGCACTTTCATAGCATCAAGCTGTGATCCTGCCTTTGCCCCAGGCAATGAGAAGGAAGAGTTCAACAGGATCATTCACACATGCTATCACAGAGAAGTTCCTCCTCTATGTACATCAACTCACCTATGAGTTTCTCCAAAGCTGGAGGAATATGTTCAGTGCTGGCAGACTGTCAAAAGAGAAGAGTCACAAGCTGTCTTAGCAGAGTGAAAGCACGGGGGCATCATCTAAAGTAGCCAAGGACTATCTCTGACAGTGGTTAATTCTCAGTGCTCACGAGAGACCTTGCAGCACTCAAACACAAAGACATCCAAATATACCCATCAGCAGTAGAGTAATTCTCTTGCACTAATAAGCATCCCCACTCACATGACAAACATTTAAATGCCCCTTGGGGATCTTTGCAACACCTGAGCTTCTCAGAGCCAATTTTAAGGCTTTTATTCCTGTTTCCCCAAAGCCTCTGTGCCCAGCCAGGCAGATCTCACCTCTCTTAGTTCAGCCAGTTCCTTCTCCAGGTGGAAAATCTGAAACATGCTCAGCCCAACTCCAGTGAGGGCCAGCAGGAGCAGCAAGGAGATCACCAGAAAGCCAATGCTCCTCCTTTCCCTGTTGCTCCTTGGCTTTCGGCTCCGATCAGGTACTGGTGGTGGGAAAGGAGCGATGGGGGGTGCTGGAGGGCAGGAAGTATTTGCATTGGGACAGCCATCCACCCAAAAGATCTGGGGGTACACGTAGTTCAAGTTCTGCTGCATGGTTGGGAGTGGGATGGACTGGATGTGCTTGGCGTGATCGTCCATGTGGCAGCCAAAAACTGCTGGGGTTGTCCCAGACTGAGCCCTGGGGGAAGACCCAGGTCTACCTTTATACGCCTGCATCACTCCAGCAGTGAACAGCCAGCTCAGATACTGCAACTCTATGAAAGCCTCAAGCATCAGCAGCAAACCCCAAAGAGTTTCCGCCCTTGGCTGCAAGTTTGGGGCACCCGCCTGCTCCTCCCACAGCGAAGCAGCAGCACCAGCCCAGCAGCAGATGCTCACACAAAACCACACTCGGGAAGCACATACACTCACATGCAAGGGCCATGCTGCCAACTGGGGCCTGTGTAATCAGCACAGTGCACACCCACCAGCCAACCACCCTTTCCAGCAGCCCACTCAGGCAGAGACACCTGCTTTTCCACTGCAGCATCCTGGACCACAAGCAGAGCAAAAGAAATGACAAAGCCTCTGGCATCCTGCACAAGAGGGAAGAGGCAGAACTGAGGACTCCTCAGTAGAAGAATGAAGACTGTATCCCAAATACATCTGTGAGTGCTAGGCAATTGCTTAATTTCACACAGAACAAAGTACTTGCTCCTCTCTGTTGTGCATCCTGCCTTTTTTCTTGGCTGCTCCATAGGACACAGATCTCGAGTCACAGAAGACTGGTCACAGACACCATCCCATTCTGTTAAAATGCAATTTAATCATAGAATCATAGAATAGTTAGG